TGGTCAATTGGCATGTTGGGCCTCTGGTAAAATAGCACATCATGGTGGGAGTGTATGGCAGAGGAAACTGTTCACCCAATAGCAGCCTGGAAGCAGAGAGAGAGAGAGAGAGAGAGAGAGTCAGATACCAAGTTCAAGTATTCCCTTTAAAGGCAAGCCTCCTGTGGCCTCATTTCTTCCCAGTAGGCCCCACCTCTTAAAAACTCTACCATCTCCCTATAATGCCTCAGCCTGGGAACCAAGCCTTTCAACCTCTTTGGAGCCAGTTAACTAAACCATAGCATCATGTCTGTACATGAGTCTATTACAATTGGCATATGATTAGCTTAATCTAAATTTTTAGTTTTTGTGAAAAAATAGACAATATAATACTAAATACAAGGGCATGGATCTCCATTAGAACATTCAAATTAAATGTTGATAATTTTCATTAGAAATTTGAAGTAATGAGACACTTAAAAATTTGATATAGAACTTTAAAAAATGAAGTGGTTGCTCATTTAATAAATATGTGTGTCTTTAGGTATTGTGATAAGCACTGGAATTAGAGTGGTAAAGTTTAGGTATTAGTTACCAGTTAGTTTATAAGAGATAAGGTTCATAAAATTGCACTCATTCAACATATAAATATTTCTCTGAAAGAGAATTGTATCTTTCCATTTGAAAGAAATTGTTGAAGATTTGTAAGAGTAGTAATGTAAAAAATGAGTGATGTAGACAAAGACATATGATATTAATAACTTAGAGCTTAATCTCTAACTTTTAATATATGTAGAGATAGTGAATAATACATGTAGGGATAGTGATTGTACAGAGAGCATATCAGAATAGAGTTGTAGTTACATTTCAAACTACCTTGGTCAGTATTTCTCAAATCTAGCACTATGTTGGAATCACCTGAGATTCTGGGCCCCAGGTTGCAGTATTTCTAGTTCACTAAGTCTATGACCAGCTCAGCTATAGTATTAGTGGTATTTCAGATGTGTGTTTGACAAACATTCTACTATTTTGGTCACCTAGCCAGAGCTACAAAGGTAAAATCTACAAAAGGAAAGTAGATAAAACAATGGCAATTCATTGGGTAAATACAGAGAAGAGTTTGGTGGAAGGTACTTAGAAACATGGAGGAGTGGACTCCCTCCTCAGTGTGGGTTGATTAGGTTAGGCTTTGGTGAGGAAATATTGATTAAACTGATTTTTAAGGAGGAATAGGGATTAGTCGAATATAACAAGGAAAATGCTAATTGAACATTTTATCCAAATGCTATATAAAGGCCAGAACTAAGGTCATTGTGGAGATGGGAAGGAGGAGATCAACTCTGGAGATCCTAATTGATAGAGTAAATGGAATGTATTTATAAGATCTGGAGTCCATCATTCATTACCCATGTGTGCCTTGCTCACTGCTGCAGTCACACTAGTCTTAGTACCTCAGGTACACCCTGCTTATTCCTGACTTGGGAACTTTGCAGCAGCCCCTCTTTTTTGCTTTCTACCTTCTTCTCCCTCCCAACCCAAGCTCTCTGGCTGCCTTCTGTTCATTTGTCACTAGCTCACCAGTCATCACTTAAAGGGCCTCTTCTGATCTCATGGTTTTACTCTAATTTCTCTGGCTCTACCCTTGCATTCAGCCTATCACTGTCCTTGTTTTATTTTCTTTGAAATACTTATCACAGTATGCTGACGTCTGCCTGGACTAGACATGAGAGCACTTGTTTATTCCCAGGAACACAGGCACCCAAGAAATATTGAGTGAACGCATAAACACTATTATGGAATTGGATTAGGTATATTACTTATGAATAATTTTTTGGATAGAGATGGTTTCTTTAGGCAAGGAACATTCATAGAGAAACCCAGCTTGAACCAAAATGATTCTCAAGGCTAGACTGAGGTTAACCAGAAGCTAAAAGCATTTATATTCCATGAAATGCCTAGCCTCTTTAAAAAACAGCTGGAATTATGAAACTTTCAAAGTGACATCTTTCCAACCTAGATGTCTTCCAAAGTAAGAGTCTTAGTTAACATCCAATATTATGAAAAAGGATTCTACATTTAAAGTAATAGAATAAAAATTACATTACATCTATACCTTCTTATAACCTCAAAAGGCTTACCTTTTAAATACATCCTACTGTCATGTATATCTAAAAACAACAATTTTTTTTTTTTAAAAAGGCTTTCCTTTTTATTTTAAAAAAGAACATCAAATATTCTCCAAGTTTACTCTTCAAGTTTGGGTCATTATAATGAAAAAAAAATGATGTATGGGTTTTGTATATTAGGTGGCTATTTCTTCAATCAGACATACAATTTTAAAGAAACAGCACTTAGGAAAAGTTTAAAACTAATAAAAACAGGGTATTTATTGCTGGGTTTGGCAAATTTATTCAAAAGAAAATTACCTTGGTAACACGTCAGTTGACATCCTTAGTCTATATCTTTTATTCATCTACATTTAGAAGAAAAGTATAGGCAGCTTGCAGAACCATCAGGAAAAAAATAATTCACCTTCTGAGGATAAACCTAACTAATTGCCATAGCACTATTTAAGAATATATAAAGTGGTCACTTAACCCAGTTTGATCTCCATGAGTGCTTTTTGGACATTTTATATAATTCAGCTGATATCCCTATGTTCATAGTTCTGGTAATAATAATACTGGTTTATTTTTCATTGGTGAAATAAAATTTTTAAATGAATAATTGTGTTTTTATATTTCACATAAAATACCTGACCCAGGCATCCCAATCTGTAAAAGTTTAACAAACATTAGTTCCCTGTTGAACTCCTCACCTTCTTCATGGTATTTTTATGTTGTTGTATATTGCTATTTGAAGGTATAGAAAAACTATATTCTTTTTGTTCATTGTGTGTAAAAAAAAAGTGGGAATGAAATTAAGTATACATTCCTAATCATAGTCTTTATAATTGCAGTATGCTGAGAGGTTGAAACACTAAATATATAGATTTGGTTTTATTGAGAATAAAATGTAATGTTACTTCAATTTAGCTGACAAAATAAGAATACCAAAATTAATTTAGGGTTGAAATATCTAAATGTTAATACACTAAAGAATGATTAGTGCAACACACATTTCTGTTCATTCGTTTGAGAAAATAATTTAATTAGTACCTAGTATGTAGCAGGCACTGTTTTGGATACAGTAATGAACAAAACACATAGAAACCCCTTGCCTCGTGGAGGACACATTTTGATGAGAAAAACACTAAGCTAAATAGATTAGTTCTTAGTGATAAATATTGTGGAAGAAATAAAGCCAAATGTATGAATTTTCAAGATCATTGTATGGTCAGTGTAGCTAATTAAAAAAAGAAAAGAAAAAGAAGAAAAGCTAGGATGGAATGTAGGATGACAGTGTAGAATGACAGAGTTGCTTAAAAAACTGTGATATCACAAAAATTATGTTTTATATTTTTAAAAAGATTAAATTGCTAACTATAAAAATCATTTCAGTTCTTCATCTTAATATTTATACTTGCTTATAAAATACACATCTGTATAACTGTGAATTGATTTTACTGAAGTTTATTCTTATTTTAGATAAAAATAAACATGATTTAAAATTTTTTATTTTTTCCCCCTACACACCATGAAGGAAAATTTTCACAGTGGATGACTGTGATATTGACAATAATAAAGATAACTCTTACAAGGGTTAGTGTGGGCCAAGCACTGTTCAGTTTAAGAATCACCTGAAGTTACTTATCTCTGTCTCCATTTTATAGGTGTGAACCCTAGATACAAAGAACTTAACAAGCTGTCCAAGATTACATAGAAAGTAGCTAGAGATGAGATTTAAATTAAGATGGTTTCTAGTTCCAGCACCTTAACATTATTATACACTTTTTTTTTCTGGTTTTAATATCTTTTTTTTTTTTCATATGGTGGTGAGGATTGAACCCGGTGCCTCACATGTGCGAGATAGGCGCTCTACCCTGAGCTACAACCTTGGCCCACCATTATTATACACTGTTTTTTTTTTTTTTTTTAAATGTAAGGACTTTAAAGATTCAGTGAATGGGAAAGAAAAGAATAATATGAAAAATAGGCTAGGAGGAAGATTAACTTACTGGCCTTAGTGTAAGCATGAGCAATTTAAGAAGTTATAAACAGATTTAAGAAAATCATCCATAGGCTGGATGCCGTGGTGCACACCTGTAATCCCAAAGATTTAGGAGGCTGAGGCAGGAGGATTGCAAATTCAAAGCCAACCTTAGCAGTTTAACAAGGACCTAAGCAACTTAGAGAGACCTCATATCAAAAATAAAAAGACCCAGAAATGTGGCTCAGTGGTTAAGTGTCCCTGGTTCAATCCCTGGTAACACCCCCCACCCCCCAAAAAAGGTCATTTAGTTTTAGTAATGAGTAGCAGAGAGACAGAAAAGGAAAATTATAGATTTGTAAGGCTAATTAGACATAGCAAACTGGCAATTGATAGGATGAGTAATGGAGGCTAAGGTTTGAAAGTATATCTGCCAAGGTTCCAGAAGAAAATTAAGACCTACAGGAAATTGAGCGACTCTTCTCAGTTCTCAAGGGTGTTTTGTAGCTAGTGATTTGATACATCTTTGAAAAGTAGATTTGTTGTCAAGGCAGTAAGATTCTCTTGTTAATTAGACTTTGTTAGGGCTAGAAATAAAAGTGTTATACTCAAAAGATTTGCCTGAAACCCAGAGGAAATTTTATGACAGTTTTGTATAGGGGATTTAAATATCATATATATATTTTTAGTCACCCAGAGGAGGTTAGAAGAGTCAAATGTGGTCAGTATTCAATTTTTATTGTAGTTTAATTTTCAGGAATTTACCTGGGCCTTAAACCTAGTCTAATTAAAAACACCACATGACTATTCAGTTTTATGACAAAAGTTTTAGAATTTGAGATTTTGATATTTCACTAAATAAAATTTATGATGCAGCAAGAAAATAGTCCCCACCATGCTATTTGTAATTCTAACTATTATTTTATTTCCAGGGAGCCTTTTATTATTTTATCAGGAGGTTTATCATATGATACTGTAGGAAGAAGACCTTGCTTAACAGTAATGCATGGGAAAAGTACTGCTGTGCTGGAGATGGACTATCCAATTGTTGACTTCCTGACACTCTGTGAAACACCATATCCAAATGGTAAACTTTGCATCATTAAAACTCATTACCCATGAATATTAATACTGAAAACAAAGGCTTCTGTGTTGTTAAGTAGTTTCCTTATCCTATTTTGCTTAATTTTTTTCTGAGAAAGAGATGCTACCTTCATTACCTTGCAAATTTTATTTCAGCAGTTTGTTTTAACAAACCTTATCAGCTCAGTATTATACATTAGTATGGGCCTTTGAAAGTTACACTATCCATATTAAGAAGCATTTTAAAATTCTGTAGAATATTAGTGTATTTGATTAGTCAGAGTTCTGCAGAGAAGTAGAACCAATAGGAGATAAATAGAATTGTTCTTGTGGGTATTCATATTTAAATTTTGGTTTTATTGTCCATCCCTAGAAGTTGCTGTGAGCTTCTTGTCTTATTCATTTTAAAAGGGTGAAAGAATTTTGACGTGTCTTAGGTGTTTTGGTGGTGCTAGGATTGAGCCCAGTGCCTGGCACATGCTAGACAAGGGGACTACCATTGGTCTATACTCTCAACTCACAAAAGTGAAAGAATTTTGAATGGATTATTAAATAGATTTATCTCATCTAAAATATAAAATATAAGCTTTAAATTACATGCAATATCATATAATCAGAATATTAAAAAGTAAGAAACAATATAAAACACAAAAAATAAGTAAATGTTTATTATCTAATTTGCTGTCCTCTTGTATATTTAAAACTATTGTTCATACATTGTTTTCCTATTCCAGATTTTCAAGAACCATATGCTGTTGTTGTTCTTCTAGAAAAGGATTTAGTACTTATAGACCTTGCACAAAACGGGTAAGACAATTGTGTGAGCATTTCCATCAGTATATGGTCAACAAAAGGTTGCTTTTAGTGTAGAATTAGCTATTTTATTTCTTCAAAAACTCTACATTTCTCTCTATAACGTTGGTCTGTATAAAGGTCCAGACTCACCTTTCTAATTGCCCTGCCAAATTTCTCTATTATATTTAATCTCATAGAATTTTCATTTTTTAATTCAAAGTTTATTGGATTTCTTACATTTCAT